AAATTATAAATAGATCTCTCATTCATCATGGAAAGGGGACTCAAGCAAGGAAGAGAAGAAAGAGAGGTAAAATAGAGTTCTCTTGCCACCAGACTCCTCGACCATGAACGAACCAGCGATTATCATCAGACTTCCGCCCAACTACCAACTATCACTAGATTTTTGCCCGGCTTCCAATTATTATTGGAATTACACCCGACCATTGACAGACACAGAATTTCTGCCCGGTCACTCACCATCGGCTAACTTCTGCCCAGCCATCGTCTGTCTTCGAACTTATTCACGTCTACTAATTATCGTCAGACTTCCCTTCGACAACTGTCTTCTGTTGACTATGGTCCTTCTAACCTTAGTCGTCGAACTATAGTCTTCTCGACCTCCGTCGCTCGTCGACTATGATCTTTCTAACTACCATCACAAGACAACGGTTTTTCTAATTACTATCGCCAGACAACTGTCTTACTGACCACTGTCACCCATCGACTACAGTCCTTCCGATCTCTGTCTCCAGACTACGATCTTACTAACCACCATCACCCGCCGACTACAGTCCTTCTAGCCTCCATCGTTAGACAACGGTCTTTCTGACCACTATCGCTCGTCGATTATGGTCCTTAAGTCCTTCATCGCCTGATAATGATCTTTCTAACCTTCGTCGAATGCTGACTAAGGTCCTTTCGACCTCTATCGCCAGACTAAGGTCTTTCCAACCTCTGTTGCTCGTCGATTACGATCCTATCGACCTCCGTAGCAAGACTACAGCCTTTCTGACTATTGTCGCCTGCCGATCATAGTCCTTCCGACCTCCGTCGCCAGACTATGATCTTTCTGACCACTCTCACCTGCCAACTACGATCCTTCTGACCTATGTAGCTAGACAACGGTCTTTCTGACCACTGCCACATGTCGAATACGGTCCTTCTGACCTTCTTCACCAGAATACAATCTTTCTAATCATTGTTACCCGCCGACTACAGTCCTTTCGACCTCCTTCACTAGATAACAATCTTTCTGACTACTATCGCCTGTCGACTACAGCCCTTCCAACATATGTCGCCAAACTACGGTCCTTCCGACCTCCATCGTCATACTACGGTCCTTATGACCTCCTTCGTCAAACTATGATATTTCTGACCATTGTTGCCTACTGACTACGGTCATTCTGACCTCCGTCACCAGATAACAGTCTTTCTGATCATTATTGCCCGCCGACTACGATCCTTCCGACCTTAGTCGCTAGACAACGGTCTTTTCGACCTCTATCGCCTGTCGACAGTCTTTCTGACCTCCGTCGCCCGTCGACTATGGTCATTTCAATCTCTGTCGCTAGATAACGGTTCTTCTGACCTCCGTTGCCTGCCGATTATGGTCCTTCTGACCACCACCATCCGACTACGATCTTTCCGACCTTTGTCGCCCACCGGCTATGGTCCTGCTGATTAAATGAACATGTAAATACTAATTCTCCTAATTTCCACTATGTAATATGATGCATAATTGCTAAATCAAATCAAGGCCTTCGTTCAAGGAAAAGGCCACATTTGTAATTAATGCAAACACAAGTGGATTTATTCAAACTGAGTCAGACCTCATGATTTTTCCCCATTTTCAAGGGTTTCCACGTAAAAATTTTAGTGTTTCTTATGAACACTACACTATCTCTTTTATCTGATTGTGTGCTGGATTTTCGTACGAAGTTAAGACGTTAAACTTTATATTTCTACCACCGAGAATAATTCAGGAGGCAACAATTCTAATTATATTAAGATAATATTGCATCAGCATAGGAGAAATATTAAAAGGAATATAAATTATAGGTTGTTTAGAATTCGCTGGACCTGACTTTCTCCTTTAAATGAATTGATTTAGTTGTTTATGAGCTCAAAAAGTCGCAAGCCAAACAGTTGATAAGCGAGCTACAGTTATCTCTTAGGTCATTAATGAACATCTGTACCAGGTGATGATGTTGGTATTATCTTGGACGAAGGATATATTATATATTTAGTTTATTAAAGATGAATTTTTTATGCTTTGAACGTATCATAATTTTTTATATATTTATATATATATAATATTTAATTTTTATATTTATTTATATGACATTGAAGATTTTAATTCACACAAAAATATTACTAATAGGTTTGCACAAAGATCAAGTATAGAAACTGATAAATGAAAAGTGCCCTGATAATATTAGAGATCTTACATAAAAAAAAATTTAAGGGACCTACCTCAGTCGAAATGATTTCACTATGTGAGTATTGATTACAAAGATTTGCTCATTCCTCAACCTCGAGATGATAGTATTATAAGAGTATGCAGGGCTGATAGAAAATATAACATAGTATGAGATGAAAGTCTTCTAAAAGGTAATAATCAAGTGACAACACTCTGTTAGTGCTGGTCAAGCAATGGTAGCCCAAAAATGTTGATAGGATTGCGACGTTGTGATAGTGGTGCTCAAATAATAGTAGTAGGGAGGGATAGTTCAAAATTGGTGTTTGGGTTCTAGCAACTTGACTATGGTGGACCAATGATGATTGTGGTCTCATGGGGGGTTTAGTCCAACAATGACGATACTTCAACAATTGTGGTCAAATAGAGTTCATTCGACGATGTTGCCCAGGCATCGATGATCTGATGATAATGATTGGGCAGTGACAATTCAATGATATTAGTCAAAAAAATAATAGTTGGATACCAAGGTTTGATTGGGTAGTGACAATTCAATGATATTAGTAAAAAAATAATAGTTAGATACCAAGGTTTGATTGTAGGGATCAGGTGATGGTTTGAGGGTGGTGGTTGTAATAACTCAAGGATCAAAGTATTTTTCATATTAGTCTGACTTGATTAAAGGTCAGATAATCTATTGAATTTTTTTTTTTTTTTTGTGTTTGAACTCTTTCGTATGTGTATGAGAATGATATGTGTGCATGAAAAAGTCTACATGTGTTATGGAGTGGGGTTTTTAGGCCTGAATGCATATCTATGAAATCTACATTTTTCCCATAGAGCATCTCGACACTTAAATAGTGGTGTCTCGACACTATGAGTTCTAGATTTGGAAAATAAACTAGCGTCCCAATGCTGGAACAATGGTGCCCCGACATGGTCTATGTTTGCATTTAAAATATTATTTTCACTATTCATTTTACTTGTTTCGTGCAAGCATTGACCCGGATCCTACCGCCTCCCGCATTCACATCCCCGTGTCCTGCGTCACACCACATAAGCGCATGCACATCCTACCACATTCGCACACTCTACCGATCCAACATGTGCTGCCTCACCCGAGCCCTTGCGCTCTCACCTGTAAGTTCTCTTGCATCGCTCGGGTTAACCATATCCGATTTAGTGGGTTGGATCAACCCGATAACCCGACAGATTAGGTATGGGTCAGAATTCCTGACCCATTTGCAAAACCGGGTTCGACTAGGGTCAATTTCGGGTTGGACCCAAACCTTACCCAAAAACCTGTTTTTGGCACCCTTAGCTATTATGATTTGCTCAATATAATAAATTATTATATTACATTTGATAGTTCAAAAAAAAATAATAATAAAAGAAATATTGAAAAAAATTAGATTGATATTTATGGCCTATGGAGTCATTTTAGCTCATTGTTATTTTGCGTTATATTTTTAGGGTCAGAGAAAGAGATTTTTTTTTTTTAAATAGCATATTAAGGAATTTGATTTGAGTATATAGGTATTTCTTCTTTTGATTTTTATACAATAATGACTAGTTTTTTATTAACATATTATGTAGTTTTTATTTATAGTCATGCGCTATGATTATATATTCATTTTGATGATTAATGAAAAAAAAGTTTCTGGATAAGTTTATTTTAATGCCAGATGTTATTACCATCTCTATATTTATTATTATTATTAAGTAAATTGGAAGAAGATTTTTGAAAACTTTTTAAAACTTAGATCTTGGAATTCATATGTTACAAGTCAACACGATATGACTTATTCAGTCTATCAATCTAAATGGGTTGGGATGTGACAGTGGCCAGGTAGCTAAGGTTCAAATGCAACGGTTTGATTGCATTAGTTCGATGGTAAGTTCACTAAAATTCAAGTTCAAATAGCTTTGAATTTAATTCAAATATGCATTAACATTCGTGTCTAAGCGAGCTAATTTTTATGAAACATCCTATAGGCAAATGCATAAAAATTTATAATATGTGTTGCATGCTTGAACATTCACATTGTTATAGAGATATAGAGTTTAATGTCCTAGTTTTTTAAGAAGATCCAACACACATACATATAAGAGTGAGGGTGTAAAAGTAAAAAAAAAAAGACACTAAGATTTTTATGTGAAAAATCCTAAAAGAGGGAAAAAATCACGGGGTCTGACCATATTAAAACGATTGTACTAGTTTTCGTAGTTCATTATAAATGATGCTCTTCCTCGGGGGAAGGCCTTAACTCAATGGAGCAAATACACATCATTATAGAGCACATTACATGATTGGAGTTGGAAGAATCCAATAAAATAAGAGTTGTCCTCGAATGACTTATTTTGGTGTCATTGAGTTCGTCTCATTGAGATGTTCAATTTTAGCAATAAGTGTGCAGAAATTGAAGTTCAGATGAACCAAAATCTAATTTTAAAAGTTTTTAATTCACATATATTTTGAGATTCGTGTTTGATCAAGATGTTTTTGATGACGTATCAATATGCATCTGAACTTTTCATTAATATATCAAAGAGTTGAAGGGGTGATGTTGGCGTCTTATGCTGATAACCTAACTAAAGAATGTATTATATTCAAACCTTATAAGAAAAAAATTTGCGCATCATTTTTTCATACATAAATGCGTGATACATGCAATGATTTTGTACTTTATAATTTACTATATAGCATAGGTGAAATAAAATAAAGAACTAATCTTTGTCCACAGCTCGGCCCATTTTCAATCGTGGGGAGCATACGAAATAAAAATAAAAGAAAATTGCCAATAAATCCATTCATCGGGTAATGATTTCACCTCTATTCCTGGCGGCTATGATTCGGCCTAACGTTTCTTCTTCCATTTTTATTTGATTTAGTTTTTCTTAGCGACTTTTCCCGGATTCTATTAGAATTCCGTTCTGTCCTCCAGAAATATACCAGAATGAATATTTAACGCGCTCCAACGCGGTTATTGGCCATCTATTCTTAGCTTGCAAGGTAATCCCTTTGTGCAATTTATGAGTTTTTTGAAGCTTAGGTCTTCAAGGGGACTTGTTTGAATTAAGATCTTGGTTTCGTCCTTTTCTTCCTTTTTTTTCAGAAATATTGGAGTATCTTTGGTATTTATTCCGGTTGGTTGATTCGGCTGTTGAGAAAAGGGCGAGGTTTGGATCTGGATTTTCTTGATATTTGATTTTCTCTTGAACGAATCAAAATATATTTTTTATTTACTCAAATTCCTTCAATCAAGTAGAAGGAAAAGATGGGAGCTTGCTGCGGCAAAGGGAAGGAAACTAGACCAGCATCAAATGTGTATTCCTATCAGAGGCCACGGCCGCCGCCACAGGCGGTGAAACCCTCACCACCGCCGCCAACTTCTTACCGGCCCGAGGCTCCGCCAACGGGAACTCGTCATTCTCCACCTTCTCCACTAAAGCCAAATCCACCAGTTCCATCACCTAAGCCTGCCCTAACCTATGATACAATTCTTGACAAACCATTTGATGATGTTAGACGCAACTATACTCTTGGCAAGGAGCTTGGCCGGGGACAATTCGGTGTCACCTACCTTTGCACAGAGAATTCCACTGGTCATTCTTATGCCTGCAAGTCCATTTCGAAACGCAAGCTTGTGCATAAAAATGACAAGGAGGATACCAAGAGGGAGATCCAAATCATGCAGCATTTGAGTGGGCAGTCAAATATTGTAGAATTCAAGGGTGCATATGAGGATAAGAATTCAGTTCATCTTGTGATGGAGCTATGTGCAGGTGGTGAGCTTTTTGATCGGATAATTGCGAAAGGGCATTACACGGAGCGCGCAGCTTCGAGCATATGCAGGGATATTGTTAATGTGGTGAATATTTGCCATTTCATGGGTGTGATGCACCGGGATCTTAAGCCTGAGAACTTCTTACTTGCAACAAAAGATGAAGATGCATTGCTTAAGACTACTGATTTTGGGCTCTCAGTTTTTATTGAAGAAGGTGCTATTGTCTCTCCCTTAAAAACTCCAGTTTTACTTGCATATTGTTGCCTTATTACATTGTTCTGGTAGCTCAACAAGAATTTATGCTTTGCTTTATGGAGATTGAAAATTTTAATCATCCTCAACATCATACAGCAGGAGTATTACTCTTTTTTATCATCCCTTTTAAGGTGGGTTGCTTTGAACAAATGCTCGTCTAGGGCAAATTATGAGTTATGTTAAGAAAATCTGCAAAAAAGGGTAACTGAGCAACGGACTAAGGCTGATTTTTAAGCCCTAGAATAAGTTTCACTTGCCTTTTTCCTGATTTATATTAAGCATCTGAACACATGATATTCTTTTTGTATGGGTATTTCATTTAATGCAACCTTATCCTCATATGTTGATGATGTATTATTAGTAGATTATGAACTGATAATCTTCAATTCTGTGTACTATTGTGAATTTTAGTTTTCATTGTTTATTATGAATAACCAGTTAAATGGATGACTACTTCTCACTTAAATAAAACATATAACAGATAATCTGCATGGCTTTCTATTATCTTCATTCTGCCTTCTTGATAGAATTGATGCCATAGGAATTTGTCAATTCTATGTGAGGTTAGATCCTCTAAGTTTTTTGGCAAATTCCTGGGAAGTTAGAGATCAATATGAGCTATGGTATGGTTTTTATCTTCTTGAGTTGAGGAATCTTATTTCCTTTTTTAGCTTGTAGTCCTAGTTTGATGCTTTATCATCCTATTTTGTGCTGCTTTGCTTTTACTGGCAAACCATGAGCCTTTCTTTTGGTTTTGAAGGCTTAAGTTGCTATATGAACAAGATAAATGCTGTTGAATCCATTCAAAATTATTGCATATTTGCATTGCCTTGTTCAATTCTTGATTAAGAGAAATCAAGAGAAGATTGCTAGAATACTTGAATTCCTTGTTTGTTTTGTTTTGGAGGCATTTCAATATCTCATTGTAATTTAAATGTTAAATGTGGACTTGATCCTCCCCCAGATCCTATAGATCCAAAGTTCACGCTTTGGGATTAAGGAGATTTAATGTTCATTTCATTGTATTGAAAGTCCATTTTGCTTGAAATTAGTGAGTCTTACATGAAGTTTGAGAAGCTGTAATACAAACTTATTTGAAGTTAAAGATATTGCTCTTACATATAAGCTCAAGAGAAAACTTTCAACCTCCAAGCAAAGTAATATATCTTTCATTGAATACTTGAGGCAATGAAGGTTTTCTAATTAAAGTCAGATTGCAACTATGATCTAAAAAGAAATTTAATGAATGATGGTGTAGGGATTATAAAGTAAATGTTGAAAAGGAAAGGATCTTTGAGTTTCTTGTAACTTTTAACATACAATTTGATCAAATTCCAGATCTTAGGCAAGGAGATCATGCCCTCTCTTTAATGAAGCAACGAAGGTTTTCCAATTAGAGTCTGCTATGATCTGAAAAGAAATGTAATGAATGATGGTGTAGTGAATCTAAAGTAAATATTGAAAAAAAGGGATCTTTGAGTTTCTTATAACTTTTAATACACAATTTGATCAAATTTCAGATCTTAGCCCCCCCCCCAATAACATACACACGCGCTAACGTTATGACTTGGAGAAGGAAAAGCTGTAATGTAAGAAACACCCAGCCAAGAAGGGTCAACTATGGCAAAAATAAAAACTTAAGGAGGATGTCAGATGACCACTGATCCTTCCAAAATAATGGAGAAAAATTCTACCAAAAAGTCAATTTATGATGCAACTACTGCAAGAAGAATGACATACTAAAGACAGTATTGAAAATTCAATGGAAGACCTCAAGGCTATGGTGGATACAAAGAAAGCCATTCAAATGAACTTGCTCATTTCACAAAATTTGGAGGACTCAAGTCTGGATATATTGACTAGCTAAGGAACCTTCTCAACTCTCTAGAAAAGCTATTAGGGTCATGATTTCTAACTCAAAAGGGTGACATTTGTAATCTTTGTGTTTTAAATGTCTCAAATATTTTCTCCAATACATGGGTAATCAACTCAAGTGCCTTTAACCTCATGAAAATTTCAGCCAATATCATCCAAACCAATCAATCCTAACATGGAGATAAGAAAATCAAAATAACCGATGACTCCTTCACCACTATTTTAGGATAGGGATTTTTTTTCGTACTTCCTTCTCTCACCCTCAATAATATTGGTGAGGACATCAACAGGAGATTCCGGAATGTTTATCATCGGAAGCAGCGCAGAGCGACAGCCTTGATCAGAAGTCTTTATTTTTTATTTATATTTTGTATTAGTGTTTCTTTTATTAGTTGTGACGATTGTACCCTTTATCTGTTTGTGTTTGAGTTGTAGCCCCGAGGGCATTCTTGTCTTTCTTTTCTAATTGTTTGGAGGCCTATATATAAGATCCTCATCTTGTATGAGATATATTGATGAATGAAAAAAAAAAGATTATGTTTTCTCTCTAGAGCTTGTGAGTTCTTGAGTGGTGAAGTCCCAAGGTGTGGGCAAAGCAATACCCATTAGTCGCCGGAAGTGTCCGGGGCTCGTGGTCCGACTCCTCCTCCTCTTACTTCACCGTCGGCCTCCCTAATCCTCTTCACCCGTCGGCCGCCCTTCTCCTGCCCTTCCCCACAGCCGCCACATAGCCCTCCTCCACCGAACACTCTCCCCGCCTCCCATTAGACTTCCGACCTCCCTTCCCTTTCTCCCCCACCGGCCAAGCCCTTTCTTTCCCAAGCCCACCGCCGGCCACATCACCTTCCGCCCCCTCTTAATGTTGAGTTCAATCTTCATTAAGACCTTCTTAATTTAGCCTACATAATTTGGAAAATATTTCATTCTATTTGAAATTCAAATTTTGAATTTTGAATTCTTTCCTAAATTAACCACGTTAAATTATGAAAGTTTTCAAATTGAATCTAATTTAATTTAAAATTAGATTGGACCTCATTATTTTCTTCATAATTTAGTTTCATGATTTAGGAATCCTTATTAACTCCCACAAATCCCTCCCAACCCCATGCATGCTGCCGGCCCCTCTATGGGATCTCCCTCCTCTCTCCTCATTAATCTCTCTTCACTTGAATTTAATTTTCAATTTTCAAATTTCAAATTCTTAAATCCCTTTTCCTATTTTACGAAAATTTGAAATTAATTTCATATTTTATATTACTTTCCCTCTCCAAATCTAAACCCTAATTCCACCAAAATCAAGCCCCTCTTCCCTTTGCCGCCTCTTCTTCCTTTCCGCCTCTTGGAAACCTTCTTGCCTCTTGAACTACACTCCAAGAAAGAAGAAGGCCTCCCTCCATCGACAATCCCCTGGACTAGTGCATAGTCGATTCGGATCATGATTGTGGATTCCTCTACGACAATCTAAGTTTAGTGGATATTCATCAATCCACCTTCTTCGACCTCAATCCATAAGTGAATAACTCCGTAGAAGATTACATAAATCACACCTTATTCACGTTGGCGTCATCAATTGAAGAGCATCTACAATCCGGAAGTTGGCGGATCATTTGGTACCCACCCACGTCTTCTCCCTTTATGGCGAACTTTCATTAGGCTACTACCATAGGTGTCTTCTCAACTTTGGTGGCATCGTTGGCTTGCTAAGATTCTTTCTCGCTAATCCTTACTAGACGAGCTTGAGTGAGGGAAACTCAAGGTGACTTTTCTATTTGTTAACTGTGGGATCTCTTGTTTACAATATTTAAGTTTATCTTTATGATTGAGATCATTCTCAAGTGATTGTTATTCTATCTTGTAATTGATTGCCTTTACATTATTGATAGCCTTAAGTCTAAGCATCTAATCTTGTGAAACATTAGTTTATATTGCAAAGCTTAAATCAATTTTTTTAATAATCTTTAATGCAATTCCTATTGGTTTCACATCAAATATTCTCCATGCTGTCGATCTTATTGTAAATCTTTATATATTTATAAAATAACCCAAGATCAAAACTGCAAGTGATATTCTTTACTGATCGTGTGTCTTTTAGAACTTAACTATGGGGAAGATTATTGGACAAGTTATAGAACAAGATGAGCTATTCCTGCTTGAAGATAACAATAGTTATGACAACCATTAATCTTTTTTGCTTTATGTTAATTTCTTGTAAATACACTATTTGATATTATTATAGATTACGATATTATCCTTTTCAAATTCTCAACTATATGTTTCCCTCTTTATTTAAAAATGTTGAGATTAAAAAATTTAATTATGAAATTTGTGAGATTGCTAAAGATAAACAATATGGGGTATCATTTGAGTGAATCTTGATCTTCTACACTTTTCATGTTAATCCACTACAATTATGGGAGACCCAAAAAAATCCTTAATATCTCTCCTACTATGGAATCTATATTATTTATTGATGATTGCACTTAAATTACATGAATTTATGTTATCAAATAAAAATTTAATGTCAATCATATTCTCTTAACCTTTCTCACTATATTAAAAAATTATTTGGGTTTCAACATTAAAAGATAGTAAGAGTGGTAATGCTGGAGATTATTTTAACCAAACTATATCTCCATTCTTCTACAGAGAAGACATTATTTTCTAATCCTCATATCTCGACCCTTATAAATGGGGTGGCTGAAAGAAAAAAATTAACATCTAATTTAGGTTATCATAACTCTTTTTCCAAAACATGGTCCCCAATGAATATGCAGGTGAAGCTATCTGATAGGTACCACTTGAATATTCCAAGTGATTCCTATCGGATCTTCGCCAAATCACCAATATTTCACTGTTTTCAATAGAAAACAGCCACCAACAATGGAAAAGCTGAGAGAAAAGGGAGAAAACTTTGGAAAAAACAATAGCAAACAATTGTATTCCCCTAGTAGATGATCAAAACCAAAGCAAGATACAATGTTCTTCAATTCGAGAGGAAGAACAACTCTCCAACAATCTCCGGCAACGCCAAGAGCCCAAGCAAGAAAACCTAGAACACAAAACTCTTTTCAAAATCAAGATCCA